ATAATACTGTATGTGATAAAGACACTAACTAGTAATAATACTGTATGTGATAAAGACAGTCACTAACTAGTAATAATACTGTTTGTGATAAAGACACTAACTATTAATAATACTGTATGTGATAAAGACACCAACTAGTAATAATACTGTATGTGATAAAGACACCAACTAGTAATAATACTGTATGTGATAAAGACAGTCACTAACTAGTAATAATACTGTATGTGATAAAGACACTAACTAGTATTAATACTGTATGTGATAAAGACACTAACTAGTAATAATACTGTATGTGATAAAGACAGTCACTAACTAGTAATAATACTGTATATGATAAAGACACTAACTAGTAATAATACTGTATATGATAAAGACACTAACTAGTAATAATACTGTATGTGATAAAGACACTAACTAGTAATAATATTGTATGTGATAAAGACACTAACGAGTAATAATACTGTATGTGATAAAAACACTAACTAGTAATAATACTGTATGTGATAAAGACACTAACTAGTAATAATACTGTATGTGATAAAGACACCAACTAGTAATAATACTGTATGTGATAAAGACAATATCTAGTAATAATACTGTATGTGATAAAGACACTAACTAGTAATAATACTGTATGTGATAAAGACACCAACTAGTAATAATACTGTATGTGATAAAGACAATAACTAGTAATAATACTGTATGTGATAAAGACACTAACTAGTATTAATACTGTATGTGATAAAGACACTAGCGAGTAATAATACTGTATGTGATAAAGACAGTCACTAACTAGTAATAATACTGTATGTGATAAAGACACTAACGAGTAATAATACTGTATGTGATAAAGACAGTCACTAACTAGTAATAATACTGTATGTGATAAAGACACTAACTAGTAATAATATTGTATGTGATAAAGACACTAACGAGTAATAATACTGTATGTGATAAAAACACTAACTAGTAATAATACTGTATGTGATAAAGACACTAACTAGTAATAATACTGTATGTGATAAAGACACCAACTAGTAATAATACTGTATGTGATAAAGACAATATCTAGTAATAATACTGTATGTGATAAAGACACTAACTAGTAATAATACTGTATGTGATAAAGACACCAACTAGTAATAATACTGTATGTGATAAAGACACTAACTAGTAATAATACTGTATGTGATAAAGACACATAACTAGTAATAATACTGTATGTGATAAAGACACTAACTAGTAATAATACTGTATGTGATAAAGACACTAACTAGTAATAATACTGTATGTGATAAAGACACTAAGGAGTAATAATACTGTATGTGATAAAGACACTAACTAGTAATAATACTGTATGTGATAAAGACAGTCACTAACTAGTAATAATACTGTATATGATAAAGACACTAACTAGTAATAATACTGTATGTGATAAAGACACTAACTAGTAATAATACTGTATGTGATAAAGACAGTCACTAACTAGTAATAATACTGTATATGATAAAGACACTAACTAGTAATAATACTGTATGTGATAAAGACACTAACTAGTAATAATACTGTATGTGATAAAGACACTAACTAGTAATAATACTGTATGTGATAAAGACACTAACTAGTAATAATACTGTATGTGATAAAGACACTAACTAGTAATAATACTGTATGTGATAAAGACACTAACTATTAATAATACTGTATGTGATAAAGACACAAACTAGTAATAATACTGTATGTGATAAAGACACTAACTATGAATAATACTGTATGTGATAAAGACACCAACTAGTAATAATACTGTATGTGATAAAGACACTAACTAGTAATAATACTGTATGTGATAAAGACAGTCACTAACTAGTAATAATACTATATGTGATAAAGACACTAACTATTAATAATACTGTATGTGATAAAGACAATAACTAGTAATAATACTGTATGTGATAAAGACACTAACTAGTAATAATACTGTATGTGATAAAGACACTAACTAGTAATAATACTGTATGTGATAAAGACACTAACGAGTAATAATACTGTATGTGATAAAGACACTAACTAGTAATAATACTGTATGTGATAAAGACACTAACTAGTAATAATACTGTATGTCATAAAGACACTAACGAGTAATAATACTGTATGTGATAAAGACAGTCACTAACTAGTAATAATACTGTATGTGATAAAGACACCAACTAGTAATAATACTGTATGTGATAAAGACACCAACTAGTAATAATACTGTATGTGATAAAGACACTAACTAGTAATAATACTGTATGTGATAAAGACAATAACTAGTAATAATACTGTATGTGATAAAGACACTAACTAGTAATAATACTGTATGTGATAAAGACACTAACGAGTAATAATACTGTATGTGATAAAGACAGTCACTAACTAGTAATAATACTGTATGTGATAAAGACACTAACTAATATTAATACTGTATGTGATAAAGACACTAACTAGTAATAATACTGTATGTGATAAAGACAGTCACTAACTAGTAATAATACTGTATGTGATAAAGACACTAACTATTGATAATACTGTATGTGATAAAGACACTAACTAGTAATAATACTGTATGTGATAAAGTCAGTCACTAACTAGTAATAATACTGTATGTGATAAAGACACCAACTAGTAATAATATTGTATGTGATAAAGACAATAACTAGTAATAATACTGTATGTGATAAAGACACTAACTAGTAATAATACTGTATGTGATAAAGACACTAACTAGTAATAATACTGTATGTGATAAAGACAGTCACTAACTAGTAATAATACTGTATGTGATAAAGACACTAACTAGTATTAATACTGTATGTGATAAAGACACTAACTAGTAATAATACTGTATGTGATAAAGTCAGTCACTAACTAGTAATAATACTGTATGTGATAAAGACAGTCACTAACTAGTAATAATACTGTATGTGATAAAGTCACTTACTAGTAATAATATTGTATGTGATAAAGACACTAACGAGTAATAATACTGTATGTGATAAAGACAGTCACTAACTAGTAATAATACTGTATGTGATAAAGACACTAACTAGTAATAATACTGTATGTGATAAATACAGTCACTAGTAATAATACTGTATGTGATAAAGACAGTCACTAACTAGTAATAATACTGTATGTGATAAAGACAGTCACTAACTAGTATTAATACTGTATGTGATAAAGACAGTCACTAACTAGTAATAATACTGTATGTGATAAAGACAGTCACTAGTAATAATACTGTATGTGATAAAGACACTAACTAGTAATAATACTGTATGTGATAAAGACAGTCACTAACTAGTAATAATACTGTATGTGATAAAGACACTAACTAGTAATAATACTGTATGTGATAAAGACAGTCACTAACTAGTAATAATACTGTATGTGATAAAGACAGTCACTAGTAATAATTCTGTATGTGATAAAGACACTAACTAGTAATAATACTGTATGTGATAAAGTCACTTACTAGTAATAATATTGTATGTGATAGAGTCAGTTACTAACAAGTAATTATACGTAAGTAACAACTAAATAACTAGTGATTTACTGATTTACGTAATTAATAGAGTAGCTGGAATCATTTAGATAGGTGTAATTAAGGTTCATAAATAAAACACTTTATTTAGATGAATTTTGATTAAAAGATGGATCTTCTCAAAAATTATGTATGAATGTTACTTCTGATCCCGAATCCTGCAATGTTTTAGGGAGTGATTGAAAGATATGGCCAACAGGGAATCATCTGTGTTTCTGACACTTACGGTTTTGGAGAGGAACTGGGTGAATCATTCTCACACATATAGGTTATCCTTATTGTGTTGTTGTGAATTGTTTTAATGTGGGATTAATTAGGAAAGACATAATGGGGACAGGTAGCTGTTGTGGATTTGAACTGCTGTAGTTTGTTATAACTCTTTTGAGTGCTGAAGAGATCTTTGTCTACATATTCCAGTTTCTCTTTGTGTCATATTGTTCAAGGTAATTGTTGAGAGCAAATAAGAGGGTTAAAGAGAAAAGACTGGAAAAAAAATCAAACTAAAGATTTGATAAAGAACATATTATTGGAGAGACTAACATCCCTCAAGGATACCTTGGTATCCACAAGTTGGGTTTACATAGACTGTCATCTGTTTTGGATGTCTATATTATCTTGGTATCCACAAGGGGGCGGTATCCACAAGGGGGGTTTACATAGACTGTCATCTGTTTTGGATGTCTATATTATCATGGTATCCACAAGGGGGGTTTACATACACTGTCATCTGTTTTGGATGTCTGTATTATCATGGTAGCCACAAGGGAGGTTTACATACACTGTCATCTGTTTTGGATGTCTATATTATCTTGGTATCCACAAGGGAGGTTTACATATACTGTCATCTGTTTTGGATGTCTATGTTATCTTGGTATCCACAAGTGGGGTTCACATAGACTGTCATCTGTTTTGGATGTCTATATTATCTTGGTATCCACAAGTGGGGTTCACATAGACTGTCATCTGTTTTGGATGTCTATATTATCTTGGTATCCACAAGGGAGGTTTACATAGACTGTCATCTGTTTTGGATACCTGCATTATTATTACACAGTGATATTGGATAATAATTGTCCCCTGTTCTTCAAGTTCTTTGACTGTTTTGCTGTTGACGTTTTCAAATATTTCTACATCCTTCCTTCACCCTTTCCATTCTGTTAATTGCTGATAATAATTGAAAGACTTATCCTAATTGAGAGAAAAAAAACCCAAACCAATCAAAAAACCAAAACAAAAATACTTGATAAGTACGTTGATAGTAACCACCTGTTCTGTGATATCAATATATAAGTCATTGTTTTGATAACTATTACATACACATAATGAAATTAAATGATGAATATGACTTAAAGAGAAGCTGTTTCATATAAATTTGTGAGCATTATCAGTAAAATAGGATGAATTTGGAATTTTGTAGATCATGATTGTGGTCCAGAGAACCAATGCAGACTGGTGGCAGATTCGGAAATCTGATGGAACTGAGGGGTTTGTTCCAGCTAATTATGTCGCTGACATTGAACCGAAAGTCACTCAGAAAATTGTCAAGAGACCAACAAAGGTCCCAGAGAAGGTCAAAGTAAAAAAGACTGTCATGAAGAAGGAACTTGTGAAAAAGAAGAAAGAGAAGTCGTCCAAGTTAAGAAGAGCTCCTTCAGGTATTCACATACAGACGTTATTTCTCCCATATGCTGCTGGTTATGTTAAGATCTTGCAATTCACATGATCATAAAAAGACTTGTTTTACGAACATGTTTTTGTTATATAAAATGAAGAATTGCTTTAATGATAGGTATAAAATAAGGTATAGGACACTCTACATCAACTTTTCTGTTTTGTAGAAAATGTTCCTTGTGTTCATATGTAAAAATGTGTAGTGATACCAGGTAATGATAGGTTATGTTAGATATATAAGGGAGATGTTTTTAGATTCTGTGTGACAAGAAATTAGTCATATAGCAAAGATGAATGACTGATGTTGCAGAGAATAGGCTAAAGCTTAATAATAAAAAGTCTGAAATTAAATCTTAGATTCTCAGAGCCAAAATCTTTTTGTGAAAAATATAATTAAAATACCTTATCAGGGCACAAACTGCTGCATATTTTCATAACTGAGTGATCAGGGTAAAGAAAATATTGAACAAATTGGTGTTTTTCATAGTTAGAGATACACTGTTGTGTATCAACCTATACCTAATGGTATTAATATTACATGTCTGTTTGGTTCATTCCAGTGAGATCTAAGGCCAACCTTCATTTTGACAAGGACAATGTTGATAAAAGGCAGCGTCAAGTGAATGTCACTTACAACAAGCTTGTGCGACTAGCTCAGGTAAATATTTCACCTGTATGTGTTACTCTAGCATGTATGATACTTTGTGTAGGAGATTGCTGTTCTCAGTCAAACTGATACCTGTTGTTTATTCTCTTGATATCCAGACTAATACTCTTCTTAAGGGATTCATTTTTAGCTGTGCTAGCTCGTCAGGTAAAATTAACAACTGTATGATGCCAGGATTGAGGGGCAGATTCTCATTTCAGCTAATTCAGGTAAAACTTCACCTGTAATCATGCTACATTGTAGGTGTAGGTTTTTTTTTCTGTGTTCTGTGCTCTCGGGTGAATCTCACACCTGAATGATGGTATGTTAAGGAAGAGATCAGATGTGACATAATGCACCATCTTATCAGGAAATTATAGACTAGAATGTATGGTTACTTATCAAACTCGTTGTCACATGTATCTAGGGTCAATAAAATAATACTAAGTCCTATTTGATGTACAGGCTCGAAGAATTGCTTTGGATGATGCTGTGGCTTTGTTCAAGTTTTACCAAACGTGTGATGAATTGGAAGCTTGGATGATTGAGAAGGTGGGTGTACAGTTATAGACAATCTTTTTCAGTAAGTAGTGTTCACTTGACGGAGATCTGTTACTTTTCATATACTGCCCACAACTTTCACACTCCTACAATTCTACCAAAGGCAAATGACATAGATATCATCCACAACACTGCCTCACAGATATCACATAGACATCTTGTGGTGGTTTGACTTTGTCTGAAATTCTACATTAATTAACTAAATGTAGACTTTTGTGATACCCCACTAAATGAATCCTATTATCAGTAAAACAACTATTTTTCATGATATATTTGCCTAATTGTACAGTCAATATTGTATGCTTTGTATTTTATTTCACATACAATGTTCATATTTACATGAATTTTAATATTTTTAGGAACAAGTCTTGACCAGTAAGGAAAGTTTAGCGGACAACATGGAGGCCGTTAGAAAGAAATTTGAGGTAAATTGAACAAAATCTTCTAAAGTCAGAATTGATTGCCTGAGTGGGGTGATTGTTTGATACATAATTAGAGATTTATAATCACTGAAGAGGTGAATGTGTAGGACAGGTATTGCTTTATTATAGCTGTCTAGTTAATTAAGTTTTCATAAAGTACATTAAAATGTTTCAGAATCTACTTACCAGTCTGGCTGCTAACAAAGGACACCTGGATAGCATCAATAAATTGGCTGACGAGATTATCAAGTCTGGTAGCAGTCAGAGAGACAAGGTGAAAAAACGCCGCCAGGAAATAAATGACAGGTGTGTGTAAGGATGGTTGTTCATTGATAATAGTGCTTTTAGAATTTCACAGAGGTAGTAGTGTTGTACATTGAATAGAAAATATTTTTTTTTGAGTTTTAAATAAACAGCCCTGTAATGACAAACTTCCATACAAGGGTAAATAAAAAGGAATAGATTTATCCTAAAGATGTGTATGAGTAATTGGTCCTACCTGAGCTAAGACGTACCTGAGCTAAGATGTACCTGAACTAAGACATACCTGAACTAAGACGTCCCTGAACTAAGATGTACCTGAACTAAGACGTCCCTGAACTACTATTTACCTGAACTAGGACATACCTGAGCTAAGATGTACCTGAAATAAGATATATCTGAACTAAGACGTACCTGATCTACTATTTACCTGAATAGGACATACCTGAGCTAAGACGTACCTGAACTAAGATATATCTGAACTAAGACGTACCTGAACTACTATTTACCTGAACTAGGACATACCTGAGCTAAAACGTACCTGAACTAAGATATATCTGAACTAAGACGTACCTGAACTACTATTTACCTGAACTAGGACATACCTGAGCTAAGACGTACCTGAACTAAGATATATCTGAACTAAGACGTACCTGAACTACTATTTACCTGAACTAGGACATACCTGAGCTAAAACGTACCTAAACTAAGATATATCTGAACTAAGACGTACCTGAACTACTATTTACCTGAACTAGGACATACCTGAGCTAAGACGTACCTGAACTAAGATATATCTGAACTAAGATATATCTGAACTAAGACGTACCTGAACTAAAACATATCTGAACTAAGACATACCTGAAATGAAATGAAATTGAAATATATCAAAAACACACCTGCTGATATATCTATGTTAGGAGCTTTGGCAGAATTTTTGTGAATTTTATGGTGTAAAATGTTGATTTGGGAGACTTATTAAAGATCAGAGTGTCAGAATAGTCAAAACTTCCAAACAACTTCTCAATAACCAAAAGTCCTAGAATTGTGATATTTTGTTTGGAATGTTTTTGGAATGAAGCTTGACAACTTATCCGAAGTTTGACTCAAAAAAAGTGTATAAATGAGGTTGACAATATCAGTTTCCTGACGTTGATTACGGTTGAATGAAGTAGGGCTACGATAGCACGCAAATAGTGTATTTTGATGTGTTTTTTGAAGTGGCAGTAAATCAACAAATTAATTTATTTCTAGTTTCTCCTTCTATTGTTTATTCATCCAAACAAGAAAACATGTAATAACAACTCCAATCAAATACATTTGTACTCGCATCGTTCCGCCCAGCACACAGTACAATGCCCTTACTGACCAAGCACATATGCATCGTATATTTTACGGAATGATGATAAAGCAAAATTAAAGTTTGCTTTTTTATATGCTTCAAGAAATGATGTGTAAAGCTACAGATCATATCATTATGACTTTATTACGGATAAATAAGCATATGAAAAACGCAGTGCTAGAAAGTTTTTAACCGTTTAAGAAACATTGTACAAACACTTGACTTAACAAATCAGACACAGATATAGACTCTGCTTATGAAAAATCCTTCAGCACTTTATTGTCCAAACACTAAATCTAGCAAAGTTCCTGATCAAAGTTTGTTAGTAAAATAGATTAAAATTAGTCTCTTTCGGAATTGTGGGGATCAGATTTCATCAGAAAGTTTGTACTGGTTTGACGGTTTCATTTTTATCGTTCCTGAAGATGTACACAACCAAGCTAAATGTTTTCATGTTTTGTGTAAATGTGCTACTTTTTTAACGTACAGGTAAGTCACTGCTACTGGATGGTGACATTATTTAAGAAGACAAACTTTAATTGGATAATTAAACTGGTAATTAGTCACCAGAGACCAAGTGTTATGTGTACCATGGACCACCGATACGCTTAAGTTAGCCATGTGTTACGCATAAGTGACTTTCTACTTTATATGTGTATTGGCAGATTTCGTCAGAAGACGTGCCGATGTTTTGACAAAAATTAATTTCGAGACAACGAATGACTTACTCCTGGCATTACAATTGAAGGGACTGAAAAATTGCTTTGACTCAACTGAAATTTCAACTCGATATTTGAGTCATCCGAACTAAAATTACCCAGATATGGAAGTAAAACAATAGGGACTTGAAATGATTTCGACTCAAACGGAATTTTGACTCAAGCGATTTTGAGACGAGTTTCAACTGTAATTAAAACAAATATTCAAACAACTTGTCAATTACCAAAAGGCGTGGCATCTCGCTGGAATAAATGTCAGTGATATGTTTGTAGAAAGCGTTCAATACCAGCTGAACATGCCCATAAGGCCTCAAACAGGCAGTTACTTTGGGGTTGAAAGTTTTGATTTTTAATGTGATATTTTGTGTACAATGATAACCTCTTCAAGAAATTAAAGGTTTTTAATGCATTTCATTGATAATTATAAAATTTTTGAAGATTTTGAAATTTCTTAACTTAACAATAAGTCCGATTTCCAAACTTTATGAATAAATAATTTGAAGTGTTGTGGAACACTTTGGATAATGAGTTTATCATTGTTATTACAGTTGGGACAGATTAAACCGTCTGAAGATGGAGAAGGAAAAGAATCTAGAAGGAGCCTCCAGGTACTGGTTCTGAATAATTAGTGTACATTGTTGACAAACATTCTTTGTATCTACCCATAAGTAGGTTTTGTTTACATGTTGGTCATTACTCAGTTTCTCTGTTTTGATAGAGATTATCTTTAATTATCATCAATTCTACATGATGTCAGATTAAACTAAATAATGGGGGATATTAATTTGGGCTCCCAGCGTCTGTACATTGGATGGCTTTTCTGGGCTTCAAACCCTTCCACTCAACTCCACAAACCTTTCTGTATATACAAGGTTAGTGCCCTAGTTGTGCTATTAATGACATTTAATTTTTTTATTATTTTTCTGTTACCATGGAAACATAGTCAAAAAATACAAAATTAGTGTTAACTTTCCTTTCTGGGCTACAGCTTTGAAACTATTCCACTCAACTCCGCTTCACCAATTCCAGTTTTTCTGGAGCAGTGCTATGATTCCTTTCAAGATAATTGCTCAAAACTTTTTACACTTATAAAGCTAGCAGTATTTTTGCTATGAGGAAGTTTAGATTAAGATTTTCAAGTACTTTTTCTGTTACCATGGTAACAGACAGCCAAATCACAAAGTTCATTTTTTTCAGACCAGTTCTCTTTAACCATTCAAGATAATTACCTTAAAAAACTTTGTACAGGCATCAAGCTAGTACTCTAGTAGAAGTTCTCCATTTCACTTCTTTATATTGAACATCTGAAAATAACAAATAGAAATTAAACTTGTTGTAGTATTAACATAAATACGATTGTGTGTCTTTCTTTTAAACAGCGAGACCTGAGGGATAATGTCACGCTTCACATTATCTTCTTTTGTTTATATTTTAAATTTTTATCCTGTTTTTCTAATTTTGTTTTATCTAATTGATAATACCGTAAATTTGCGGGTATAGTGCACACTCGGGTATAGTGCGCAGGTACTTTTTTGGGGTCAGATTAAGATAAAAAGTTTTTCTACAGAAAGATTAATTGATTACTGGTTACCGCGATGAAACAGTTGTGGTTTGATCCATTGATAATTAGGAAACCACAATCATCGTGACCCTAACATATTTAATTCCCTTACATAAACAAATTCACACAGGTGCCTGACTTAACAAGCATGAAAGGCTTGGCTAATTGGATAATTAACGGCTCTTAACAGGTAACAGACACGTTGAATATGAGGAGATTGATGGCACCCGGTTTCGGCTGAATGCGTACTATTGCTCAGAAAACGATGTTGTTTTAACTGTCTGAAAAGTTTCAATCCTACCTTGTCCCCATATCTGTACCTACCGCGGTATCCGAAGGTAGTTAATTATAGATTGTTTACACCGACTTCGACATGGGGAAACAGCGTGAATAGCTGATGATTAAAACATTTGAAATTTATTTCATTTTATTTATTTTTATCTCCAAACTATCGTATATGACCGACGACTTTTACATATAACTATGTGAAGGGAGATAATCCAATATGGCGGACGAGAAGTTGGGAATGATAACCCCAAGAATGGCATGTTCCTGCATATAATGCGCACCCCCTTTTTGACACGACAGTTTTAGCTTGAAAAAGTGCGCACTATACGCGAAAATTTACGGTATGTAATTGAGTAAGGTTCCTCGTCTCGAAGTGCTACGTTTCACCTGTTACTTTATGTTGTAGCATTGAGATGTTCCAGTCAACCTGTGATGAGCTGGGAGAGTGGATGAAAGACAAAGATGCCAGTCTCAATACAGATGAGGTGGCTAATAACCTCAAGGCAATTGAGGCTCTACAGCGTAAACATGCGGTGAGTCAGTTTTAGACAGAAACATTCTGTATGTTATCATTATGTCTCCTAAACAAAAAATATATGTAGACCAGGCTTTCGAATAAACATGGAACAGGATCCATTTTATATGGCCATTTCAAGACAGGACATTCACAAATAAATATGATATGGTTACAAAGATTGGTCAAAATGAAATAAGGAGCCATAGCACTCTCAAAGTGGTCACTTTGGCAGCCATCGTGAAAAGATATTCAAAGGTCAAAGTCACTATTACAATAAATCTCAATCTGCACTATATCTCCATTGTGTTGTGTTGATTTCACACAAACTTTACCTGGAGCTTCTTCACAAAAACGGCTTACTTTGTATTGCTTTTGAGGTCTTCTTCAGAGGTCAAGGTCAGTTGCTATACTTAGAACTGAGAAAGTTTTAATAACATTTATGACATATTGATTGAAATCTGTTAGGAAGTCACCTAATGTCAAATTTTCACTGTCAAAGATTTCAATATGATATTATACAGTTAAAATGACTAGAATCAAGTAAGTCACTAGACTTCAGATAAGGTAACAATTTCAAAGGTCAAGGTCAAGTGCTGAATATTCAGAAGGATAGTATTTTTGCTTTGACATGAAGAAGCAGAGTTGACTAGAGTCAAATAAGACTAGATGTGAAGGTCACAAGTTCAAAGGTTAACATCAAACTATGAATGTTTTACTGGCAAATATTTCATTTTTAAATTTTAAGGAAATTTGACTAGAATCAAATGAGAGGTTGCCAAACTACAGGATAGGGTCACCAGGTCATATTTTAATATCGTACTGGTAAATATTTTGGTTTAAAATTATGAAGTAGAGTTTACTAGAAGCAAATGATAAAGTGCTTGATGAAAATTCAAGGGAAACATTTTTATCTGTTAGTGGTGAATGTGATTTTTTTTCTAAAATTGTTAGAATCATGATGAAGAGACCATTCCATCACACTACCCACTATTAACTACTGCTTTGTGTTCTCAATTATGAAACCAATGAAATTCTATTCAAATTGTCATGAAATGTTAATAAAATATAAGAAAAACTGTTTTGTATTTGGCACATATAAGAAGTAATTTCTTATCTATGTGTCAATCTGGTTAGACTTGGTTTAGTGTCAAACAGGTTGCGGAGCCCTGGCTGCTGTGTCAATGCTCTAGTTAAGCATAGCTTGTCTTAGCCCATCATGACAGTCATGTTTTCAATCTTGTTACTTTGTCTCCTATATAAACCATTTAGACTTTTACAGGACCTCCACTAGCCAGTAAAACAAAATTTATAATTTGACTGCCACCAATCACTGGGATACCTTGATTCTTCTTTATTAGTATGTCAACTGGTTTTGCTCGAACCATGTGGGCTTCTTTAGAATCAATGAATCCAAAGCTTTTTGCGATTGATTTTCATTCGTAGCATGTCCCTTTAATCCAATCACCCTGCATACTGATATGTATCCAAACAAGGGATAAAAGAAAAAACCTACCCAAACTGTCATCAAAGTTACAGTTCTAGTATTGTATCTAAGATTCCTAGTGGATGCTAAAATAAATTTGGACCTGAAAAATTAGGTAGTCATCTTGAAATTATGAAAGAGTTCCATATTTTACCACAAATAAGACCCCTCTCATAAATAATTTTATCTGATTCTGATTCATCAGCACTACAAATTTTCAGAAATATCTTACCTGAAAATTTGTCAAATTAGTTTAAGACTTTTGTGTGGAAGCTGTGTGGAAGCTGTGTGTGTGGAAGCTGTGTGGAAGCTGTGTGGAAGCTGTGTGGAAGCTGTGGAAGCTGCGTGTGTGGAAGATGTGTGTGTGGAAGCTGTGTGAAGCTGTGTGGAAGCTGTGTGTGTGGAAGCTATGTGAAGATGTGTGGAAGATGTGGAAGCTGTGTGAAGCTGTGTGGAAGCTGTGGAAGCAGTGTGGAAGCTGTGGGGAAGCTATGTGTGTGGAAGCTGTGTGGAAGCAGTGTGGAAGCTGTGTGGAAGCTGCGTGTGTGGAAGCTGTGTGAAGCTGTGTGGAAGCTGTGGAAGCAGTGTGGAAGCTGTGGGGAAGCTGTGTATGTGGAAGCTGTGTTAAGCTGTGTGTGTGGAAGCTGTGTTAAGCTGTGTGGAATCTGTGTGTAGCTGTGGAAGCTGTGTGTGTTGAAGCTGTGTGTGTGGAAGCTGTGTGGAAGCTGTGTGAAGCTGTGTGGAAACTGGAAGCTGTGTGTGTGGAAGCTGTGAGGAAGCTGTGTGGAAGCTGAGTGGAAGGTGTGGAAGCTGTGTGGAAGCTGTGTGGAAGCTGTGGGGAAGCTGTGTGGAAGCAGTGTGGAAGCTATGCGGAATCTATGCGGAAGCTGTGCGGACGCTGTGCGGAAGTTGTGCGGAAGCTGTGCGGAAGTTGTGTGGAAGCTGTGTGAAGCTGTGCGGAAGCTGTGCGGACGCTGTGTGGAAGTAGTGTGGAAGCTGTGTGGAAGCTGTGTAAAGCTGTGTAAAGCTGTGTGGAAGCTGAGTGGAAGCTGTGCGGAAGCTGTGGTAAAGCTGTGTGGAAGCTGAGTGGAAGCTGTGCGGAAGCTGTGTGAAGCTGTGTAAAGCTGAGTGGAAGATGTGGAAGCTGTGTGGAAGCTGTGTAAAGCTGTGTGGAAGCTGAGTGGAAGCTGTGCGGAAGCTGTGTGAAGCTGTGTGGAAGCTGTGCGGAAGTAGTGTGGAAGCTGTGTGGAAGCTGTGTGGAAGCTATGTGAAGCTGTGTGGAAGCTGAGTGGAAGATGTGGAAGCTGTGTGGAAGCTGTGTGGAGCTGTGTGAAGCTGTGTGGAAGCTGTGTGGAAGTTGTGTGGAAGTAGTGTGGAAGCTGTGTGGAAGATGTGGAAGCTGTGTGGAAGCTGTATGGAAGCTGTGTGAAGCTGTGTGGAAGCTGAGTGGAAGATGTGGAAGCTGTGTGGAAGATGTGGAAGCTGTGTGGAAGCTGTGTGAAGCTGTGTGGAAGCTGTGTGGAAGCTGAGTGGAAGCTGAGTGGAAGCTGTGTGAAGCTGTGTGGAAGCTGTATGAAGCTGTGGGGAAGCTGTGTGGAAGCTGAGTGGAAGATGTGGAAGCTGTGTGGAAGCTGGGTGGAAGCTGTGTGGAAGCTGTGTGAAGCTGTGTGGAAGCTGAGTGGAAGCTGTGTGAAGCTGTGTGGAAGCTGTGGGGAAGCTGTGTGGAAGCAGTGTGGAAGCTATGCGGAATCTATGTGGAAGCTGTGCGGACGCTGTGCGGAAGTTGTGTGGAAGCTGTGTGGAAGCTGTGCGAAAGTTGTGTGGAAGCTGTGTGAAGCTGTGCGGAAGCTGTGCGGACGCTGTGTGGAAGTGGTGTGGAAGCTGTGTGGAAGCTGTGTGGAAGCTATGTGAAGCTGTGTGGAAGCTGAGTGGAAGATGTGGAAGCTGTGTGGAAGCTGTGTGGAAGCTGTGTGAAGCTGTGTGGAAGCTGAGTGGAAGCTGTGCGGAAGCTGTGCGGAAGTTTTGTGGAAGCTACCTTATATACTGTGATGCCCAAGGAGTCTCCTGAGATTAAAACTATTTATAGAAGTATTATTTGTAACTCTAAGTATGTCCTCAATGGTTGTAAACAATTCCTTCCTTTTATTATCATCACAATCACTGGGAAGAGACATGAAGATACACATCATATTGACTGGCTTTCAAGTTAGGCTGCCATTGTTGTCATGCAATTTTCATCTTTATTCTTGCTTTTAATGGAAAGATGTAAGATGTGACCTCCTGAGTATCACACTATTATGTAATGTATGAATCAGTAGTGAAATTATCAGGAGTTCCCCAAGGTTTACTGTAATTACTGTATAAGATGACTTCTTCTCAAATAACAACATTCAGTGTTCAAGAGCACAAACTGTAAATCAATATATCTGAGTGAATCAAACTGTAAATCAATATATAATTTTACAGTAGGATGTTTGTAGCTAGGTTTTTTTGTTTGTGATGGCAGTGTGTTCAATGGGAGGAAATGGCTGTCTATATGAGAGGAAATATTTTGTTCTTGACCGTATACTGTACTTAAAGGAAATATGGCTGATTATTGATCAGTGCTTGTAAAATGCTGATAGACAGGATTTATTGTCTGTACTGACAACTGATTAGAGATGTCCAATCAGATAAAGTACCTGTGATTATATACAAGTACCTGTGATTCTGTTGATTACAAGTACCTGTGATTTTGTTGATTAAGTACCTGTGATTCTGTTGATTACAAGTACCTGTGATTCTGTTGATTACAAGTACCTGTGATTCTGTTGATTACAAGTACCTGTGATTCTGTTGATTACAAGTACCTGTGATTCTGTTGATTACAAGTACCTGTAATTCTGTTGATAACAAGTACCTGTGATTCTGTTGATTACAAGTACCTGTGATTCTGTTGATAACAAGTACCTGTGATTCTGTTGATAACAAGTACCTGTGATTCTGTTGATTACAAGTACCTGTAATTCTCTCGATTACAAGTACCTGTGATTATGTTGATTACAAGTACCTGTGATTCTCTTGATTACCTGTGATTATGTTGATTACAAGTACCTGTGATTCTGTTGATTACAAGTACCTGTGATTCTGTTGATTACAAGTACCTGTGATTCTGTTGATTACAAGTACCTGTGATTCTGTTGATTACAAGTACCTGTGATTCTCTCGATTACAAGTACCTGTGATTCTGTTGATTACAAGTACCTGTGATTCTGTTGATTACAAGTACCTGTGATTCTGTTGATTACAAGTACCTGTGATTCTGTTGATTACAAGTACCTGTGATTCTGTTGATTACAAGTACCTGTGATTCTGTTGATTACAAGTACCTGTGATTCTGTTGATTACAAGTACCTGTGATTCTGTTGATTACAAGTACCTGTGATTCTGTTGATTACAAGTACCTGTGATTCTGTTGATTACAAGTACCTGTGATTCTGTTGATTACAAGTACCTGTGATTCTGTTGATTACAAGTACCTGTAATTCTGTTGA